AGCCCAAGGGTTTATGATTTATTTCTTTTTAATTAAAGGTGGCCAGCCAAGATCCCCCAGTAAGATCAATGCAGCAAAATGGATCTAAGTTTTTATAAAATTAAAAGTAAGTGCCATAGAAATGGGGGACTAAAAAATGTCTCAAAAGGCAGTGAGTAAAGGGGAGACGTGACTTCTAGCACCAAAGTAGTAGGAGGTGAGCCAACCCCATGCAGACTCAAGCAACAAGATAGCCATATATATATATATACACACACACGCGCGCGCACATACATCAAGCAAGCTGAAGTGCACTTCTCAGCTACTCAGATGGTGCTGGCCAGCTCCCAATTTTTTTTCTGCTTTACTCAAAAAGCCAATGGTAAATTTAACATATAGTTCGTCTACTAAAAACTGAATTCTTTTAAATATACATACAGGAGATTTGTTTTCCCTCTGGTAATAACAAAAGAGTAAAGTCCCTTTGATTTCAGTGTACTTGCTTCAATTCTCAGATCCTGAGATGATGCACTCAACAGCTTGGCAAGCAAACCCCAGTGCATCTTGAAAACAGAAATCCCAAACATCCCTTAAGAAAAGCAGAGAATCAGCATGGAAAACAGGGATACTTATTAATTTCAAATTAAATACCATAAATGCCCAGATCGTGGCACAGTGAGGGACAATGAACAGTCTGTCCTTTCAGCTGGCATCACGGTGTAGCGTGGAGAAATGTCAGGCTAAACTCAGCTTTCCATCCAGGCTTTTGTCGATCCGTTTCACAACCAGATTAACTTTCCTTTAACTAGTACAAAACATCTGAAATAAAATATCTACTGGAAGATTATATAACATATATTAACTCACGCTTAACCCAAGCTGAGGGACAGAGATGGAACCGGACAGTTTAAAGATTCAAAACCACAGATTAACCTGAGGGACTGGAAGAAGAACAGAACTTTTCCCAGTCTACCGGTCAATTAAAAATATCCATGCTGATGAACAAAACCCTAAAAATATAATTTTCTGCCCAAAATATAAAATTTTATTGAATATCATTAGAGGACATTTTTCCTTTGCAAAATGTATACTTTAAAAAATTGAATAGGAAACAAACTTGAGAAAGCTGTCAAAAGCAGAATTCATGTAAGTTTGAAAAAAGGCAAAAAAATCAAATGAGACATTTGCTCTTGACTTAAACTTCGCATGTGAAGCTGTAGATGAGGAAAAATAGGTTTTCATCCAGTTCCATCCAATTTATCGTGCTAAAGAACAGGACTTGTTTAAAAATCCCTTGGCACCTTTTGGAAGAGGAGGAGGGGTAACCCCTTGCCCTGGCCACGCCGCACGTGAGCAATCACGTCCCACGCACCTCAGCTCCACCTTCAGCTCTGCGCAACTCCCCTTGCTGCACGGGTAGTTACTCCTATTTTCGTGGGGTATAAAACAACCTCTAAATATGTCAAACCTTGTTTAGCAGAGAAATCAAGTATGTCCATTCGTACCAGCGCATTAAAAAAAGCAATCTCAGTTTACCCCAAACACCACTCTCACTGAATGACTTTCTTATTCCCGGCTTCATTCAAGGAAATGAGGTTTGACTGTCGAGTACTCACCTAAATCAGCAGAGCTTACAGAAGTGCTTTGGGATCGCAGTGAATGAAAGGAACATTCTTATTTCTGATAATGGGAAACAGTTTTTGCTGAATTATAGTTATGGCTCTAAATTTTCAGTACTTGGATAATTAGGAATTCAGAAGGAATACTGACTGCCAATGGAAGTTTGTGCAGAGTGAGATTCTACAGTGATTTGGGGATTTTTTTTTTTTAGATATTTGTTTCCTCACTGTATTTTCTAACATGAAGCTCCATAGCAGTTCTGTGAAGCGGATAATGAAGTACAGGGCCACCAGAGCATGCCCGTACGCATGCCAGGATCTCTGTGATGGAGACAAGCACTAGAGCAGCATTTTGGCCAGCATTTCTTGCTTTACAGGCAAACTGTCAATACCAAAATGCTTAAAAATGCAGCTAATGAAGGCATTCCAGTTTATTTGAGTCACAGAAGGGCGCTTCATTTTTATAGTTCTGTTTTGCAAGACAAAATATGTAAAAACTAACAAGGAATGAAAGAAAGAAAAATAAACCCAGAAAAGATGTAACTCACATCCTTCACTTTTTCTAGACCAATTTCTAGTTGTACAATCCATCAAACCATACCATTTTGATTAGTTTTTACATCAGGACCACAGAAGCCCTTAAGAATTCATGAGATGGATGCTCTTTCAGGTGGGATTCAAGATTAAATGATCTGAAAGGTCATTATAATGGCACTGTACTGCCTGTGCAGCCGTAACTACAAACAAGAATTTCAGTACGGCATCAAGATAAATGGTGAGGTCCTGGCTATAGTGAACTTAATATCAAAAATAACCAATGGGGCCAAGTAGGGTAACCAGAGGCTCTCCTCCCCCAAAGCCTGCACGCCTAAACGTTATTACACAAAACAAAATCAAACCCATGAAAACAGTATTCTGCAGGTCACAAGATGAATTACAATTAAAATACGCAGCTGACCCTAGTCTAACCTTACAAGAAATGTCCCCCTGAAGACTCTTGGTCATATGTTCTCAATCGCTGCCTCTTGGACAAAAGCAACATGAGGAGAAAGAGAACAGTTAAAAATGAGGACGTTAGAAGGTTTGCCGACGGGAAAAGAACCTTGTTGTTAAAAAGGCAGCAGCTGTGAATAACAAAAGGAGACATAATGAGAACTCGTTTCTAGCGGACCTACTGAAATGGTCGAACAGTCTTCAAGGGCAGAACTACATCGGTGGTGAACCACCACCAACCTACCTGAACAGAGCCAGGCAAAACCCTCAGTACCCCTGCAAGATTTTAATTCCTTCAGTTATCTTATAGTACTTCCAGGATTTCTTACTGTTACGTTGATATGTTATTGTTACATTCTTCACACTTGCACAGAACCTCCCAGTCACTTCACAGTCACAAGCATTTCCTCGAAGGGAATTCATTCCTGAATTACTCTTCTTGGGAATGACTTATTTGTATGCGACACACCCTGTGATGTCTAGAAAACACGTAAAACATTCCTCAAGAGAAAACATTTCCTCCCTGGATAAGGACATAAAACTTCCAAGGACATAAAATCTACAGAAAGGGAACAGGGACAGGGATTACTCATAGGAATACCTGGCTTAATTCATGTTGAAGTCTCTTTTAAGTATAAACATAGCGTGACATAGCTTAGACTAATGCAGACATTGACATAACGCTGAGAAAAATCCACATCTTGAGGAACACGCAGTCTTAACATCTCAATGCACAGGAGGGTCTTAATAAGCTGCTCTCCTTACCTATTTACTTCAATTGATTTGTACACTCTCCATTCCACACTGGTGAAGTGGATTTCATTCTCCTGAAATCTAGTGAATGCTACTTCACTGCACAGTACGCCTTTACAGTCACTTTTAGCAGAAGAGACTTGAGCATGCAGCAGTCTAGCGGCTAAAGGAAACCTCTCCTGAACTCAATTTCATCTTGTACCCGAGCTGAAAAATGCAAAGAGAACAGAATTCTTAATTGCACCATAGCCAAAGACAGATACCCCACAGTTTAAAGGCACGTGCGTTCCCCTTGAAAGCAGAAGATACCCAGGGCGCAGAAGCAAAGCTGGGCAAAACTTTCTGAAGAACACAAGAAAGCCGCTGTGGACAGCATGAATATAGCACAAGAGAGAGTGGTATGCAGTAGCACGCAGCAGCTTTGCCATCCCAGCTTTCTCACTGTCATTTCCAAGTGATAAATTATTATTAAACAGCCATGCTAAAATGTACAGGCCTTGCTTTATTTTTAGGCTCCTATTTGGATGCCAAGCTCTTCAAACATCACCCAGTCTGAGAAACACTATTAAAAAAAGAAACTGAAGAGTAGCCAAATTCTTGGCCTGTTGCAAACACTGTATTCAATAAGCTGTGGTTCAGTTTGCATTGTACTTGTGCGTCAAGAAATATCCTAAAGAGAAGTAGGAATTTACACAAAGTGTAATACTTACCAGGGACAACATTCCCAGAAATTGGGTGTGCTTAAATCTTCCTTTCATTAGAAAAAAAAGTTATCCTGAATTCAACCATGTAGAATTTGTGGCTATGCCCCACTCATTAATAGATTAAACGCATTATAAGCCACGTATTGACAACAACCAAATAGCGAGTCAGCTGAAAAACAAATACAAAGCAACACCTCCCCCAGTAAACTCTCTATTTTTGTAAAGCGTGCACCATTAAGATAATCAGGTTATAGCAAACACGTATCCTTTCCACTCAAGCTTAGCAAATATGAGAATGTAGCTTCCTTGAAATCGCTATCAAATTTCCCATAAGTTTCACTGGAGAGAGGATTTCACCGTGCTGTTGCAGCTTAGATAACAAGATGGGTATCAGACTTTTGCAGCCCAGCTTTTTATGGATGAATCCCAAAGTCAGGTATTGCCACAAATGGCTGGACAAAGGAGGCAGGAGGAACTAAAAGGGAGAGAGCTCAGAAGAATCGTTCACATTTTAAAAATTATTTCACAAATTAATTGTATAAATTAGGATTTTCAGATGCAAAAGCTTAATTAGCACATTTTTCTTGCACTGGAAATTTAGATAACATCATGATCTAAGATTGGTATCTTCCTTATAGACTTCATCTTAATTCTCAGTTTGACAGCAGAGTTTGCCAGATAGTGTCTGTCTTCAAATACCGCAGAACTACGCTCTTACAGCAGAGTCCAGCCAACCCGCATTCACTCCTAAGGCAGAGAGCAACTTAGAGCTGCACTATTCATAAATACACATTTATTTTTCATTAGAAATGCATAATTACAGCATTTAAAAGCATTTTCCCCTAGAAAAGTAGTTAAGCAACAGTACAAACAAAATTGTTAGTCTTCTGCAAATACAGTTTTCATTACACTGAACAGAAAACACCAGCAAAAGGCTAATACTTGCAGTTATGGGATTTTTCTTTTTTTTAAATATTTTCCATTTTTGTTATAAACACCATAGCAAATAAAAAAAAGCTGTTTAAACAGTGAAAAATATTTGAGCTCTTGATCTTCTATATGTGGTAAAGCAAGTATTGCAAAGCAGCAATACACTTCCTAAGATATCTGCAGACATTCAAATGGCGTATTTCACAGAAGAAATGAACAGGATGAAACATTAATTTAGTCTCATGGTTTTGATTCCTTAGACTTCTTTCCCACTTTCTGACAGAATTTTTTCTCTTTAAGTGTACCTAAGGGCAGGCCATGTATTTTTTTTCTGAAGGCCAGATTCTCAACTGATGTAGCGATGCAGCTCCGATTTAAGTAAATGGGTCTGATTTATTCCAGGTGAGGACAACCAGATCATCAGAACTCTGCTATTTGCAGGAGATGTTCGAGGTGTGACCGTCAGTCCAACAGGCATTTCCAATCTCCTCGTGTTGCACGAAGACTACAGCACTTAACTTCTGACCGCGGTTCACTGACATCTCGGTTGACACAGTTTTTGCACTTCTCTTACTGAATTTGAATTGCTCCGTGTTCTATCTGCATCTCTGGCTGGATTGCTGATTGAAGGGTATCAGTGCCCTGCAAAAGGAAACATGAAATCAGTAAACCAATACAAAAGTGCTGTCCATCGGTGGAGCCAAGGGAATGCAAACAAACTATACTAATATAAAGTTCTTGTATATACCAGTGCAAAATCTGCATGGATATCAGCTCTATGACAGAGTTGAAATGGGAATACACTTACAAAGGCACCAAAAAGAACATAAAGAGTCCATGTGAAGACTAAGTAGAGTAATGCCCTTCAAAGGCTAAAATTATGAAATCACGACCGGGATCTATAAAATCACGACTGGCACAAAGAGAGCAAATAGAAACCAATTATTCCCTTGCTCTTCCTAAAAAAGAACCAGCTCTAAAAAGAAACAAAATAAACCCCGTGCCTGGCACAACGTGTGCCGAAGCTGTGGAAGGACTCGTCCCAGCACGATGTACGTGCTGACGGCTCGGGCGTACGAGGCAGAGCTGAACACTGGTATGGAAGGGAACTCCACCAAGGGTGACCGTAGAAAAAGCAGTAGGAAGTCCCGGAGTGACAGAACTATTGTAGTTGAGGAGAGCAAAATTACCTGTTTGCCCTGTGGTTGGAATTTCCCCAGCTGGTGCAGGATATGGTCTAAAACTGCTGACTTTACCCACTGCAGTCTTTCTCTATTTTGTGTAAAATGAGAATAGCGCTACTATAGTGAACTTTTTCTCAAATAAAATTCTTCCTACAGGCCTGATTCTACTCACTTGCCAAGCGAAAACAGTCCTCCATGAAAGAATTTGAAACACTATTGACTTACACTTTCAAGGGAAGCGTCCTTAAAAAATTCTATTAACTGCCTACCAGTAGTCTGACAGTGCTGTGAAAGGATAACCCCACAGCAAACTGTCTTTTTAGCCAAGTTAGTTGGAGTAAGGAAAACTAGATTACGAAACAAACTCCATCTTTAGAGCTATAAGATGAATAGCATTTAAGAACAGCTGTATTGGCTTGGATACAGTCCATCACACCCAATAAGCCTTCCCCTGATAGCAGCCAGTATCACAAGCACAGATAAACTACAAGAAAAGGGCAAGAATTTAATGCTATTTTCCTGCGCACTCCCAACAGAATCCAGAGATCTGCCCTTGATGGATTTTCTCCCCATAAATTCATCTAATAGATGCTTTATGTAACGCCCTGGATACAGAATTATTTCTGCGTTAGTACTTCTGTTACGAAAAAGTCTTACTTGAAGCCCTGCTTTATGCTCTCAGCCGAGTATCTGCAAGATGATCCACAAAGACACAAGGGTGGAAACTCAACTACATTTCCCATCCTTTAGGTTTTACTTTACAGTCACCACTTATTTATTCAAACGAAAATACCGGAGGTTCAAAATTATAAAGCATTGCTCCTACATTAAAGTTTTGTTGTCAGATTATTTCTCTTCCATCTCTCTGCACACAGCTACAAGACTTTTTCCTGTTCAACTTTATAGGTAATTTGGTGTTTATTTAAACATTCAATAAATTAGTGCCAAAGCAGTGAATAATTCTATCAGATTGCTAAATTTGATAGCAGGTAAGTTTTCAAGTGACCAAAGTTTTCTTTCCCATTAGAGGAAAACTGTATTGAAATAATGTAATTATCAAATAATAGCAACAACAGCGCTACTGAATATTTATGCAACATTCAGACCAGAAGTAGAAGTCTTCCCAAAGGGATTAGAAGCACACTTTAGATTTAGAATTACGTTTTTTTCCAAATCTAACAAAATTTACCACCAGCATATGAATTTGAGTACAGAATTAATCCAAATATTCTTTGTCGTTATCATATTCCTTATTTCTAAATTTTGCAAGCTGCTATAAGTAAGAACACTATCGAGACATGAAAACAAGCCAACTAAACCTAAATCCCCAGAATGCATCTGATTTCAAACCATGCCTCCCTCCGTCCATGCATTTGCAATTTTATGCCACCAAAACCCTGGTCATATATTAAGTTTGTGTTTACATATGTGGTTTAGGGTCACTACGAAACCGTCAGAATCGCAGCTATTAATATTTCTGCCTACAGCTAATTTGCAAATGCAAAATCATGCATGAATACATTGAAAATACTAAGCTGAGCTGCGTATTGCTGCCTGCTTCAGCTGAAGTCAGAGAAGGGATTCATTTCAAATAGCCTCCCTCCTACGTTCAGCTTTGCGATTGCTTCCAAAGGCACGGCTTCCAAGAAAAAAGGTCAGAAGACTGGTGTCTTGTTTTCAGACATTAAAGAAATTCGCAGTTGTGGTGTTTCAAACAAGGAATTTGTGTAGGGCATAGCATCCAACCCAGGTGGATAATCAACTCCACTTTTATAAGCCTTGGTCGATAAACAGATTCAAAATCATTGAGACATCTCAGTACCTTGGCAAAGAACTGTATGAAAACAGATAAAAGTGTCACTACAGCCTCACTGACAGGGTTTTCCCTTCAGATAAGAGTTTTCCCTTCAGATAAGGATAAGACTTTTCCCTTCAGATAAGAGATCTAAGATGAGCAGGACTATTCCACGGTTTTAGCCAAAAAAAGCTATTGGGCTATCCGTGCAACTCAGGGTAATGCAAATACCGAGTTGGGTTCTCCAATTCATTAAAAGACCCTTAGTTTTTAGTTTGTGTAAACTGAGGAAATATTTATGGCAAACTTATTTTTAGTCTTGTCTGTTTTTCCTTTCATACTCTTCTTATTTCACATTCCTTTTCTGCTTCTCTTCAGCTTTGTATAAATCTCTGTGGTTAACCACAATATTAAAACCTAACACGGTGCGAAGTGTCCCTGAAGAGAAAAGTAACTGCTCCGGTGGCTGCCAGTCGGGCGGGAGACGGATGCCAATGGTCGGACGTGAACTCCGTAACCTCCCGCCCGTCAGAGGTGGCAGCTGAGAAGGGAGGACAGGCACGAGGAACAGACCCAGGAGGAAGTCTGTGGGAGGTAAATTTGAGAATTTCCCAGGCCTGGAGTGAGGACAGCAGCACGAGAAACACCTTTCACTACCTGACGCCTATACGCTTTATGAACTGCATGGGACCAGCAGTACTTGAAGATTTATAAGAAATAACGCACGATCCCTGTAGCAACGCTCTTACTGTCCAGCGTACTATTACCCGTGACTATGAATAAAATATGGAGAAGGTCAGTGCAGAGACAAATACAAAGAGGGAAAAACAACTATTAAGGGCTCATCTTTGTGGCACATCATTGTGGCTGGAAAGCTGCCTGGCCAAAAAGGACCTGGGGGTGTTGGTCGACAGCTGGCTGAACATGAGCCAGCAGTGTGCCCAGGTGGCCAAGGCGGCCAACAGCATCCTGGCTTGTGTCAGGAATAGTGTGGCCAGCAGGAGCAGGGAGGTGATTGTGCCCCTGTGCTCGGCGCTGGTGAGGCTGCACCTGGAATGCTGTGTCCAGTTTTGGGCCCCTCAGCACAAGAAGGACATTGGGGTGCTGGAGCGTGTCCAGAGAAGGGCAGCGGAGCTGGGGCAGGGTCTGGAGCACAGGGCTGGTGGGGAGCGGCTGAGGGAGCTGGGGGTGTTCAGCCTGGAGAAGAGGAGGCTGAGGGGAGACCTGATCGCTCTCTACAACTGCCTGACAGGAGGGGGCAGGGAGGGGGGTGTTGGTCTCTTCTCCCATGTAGTTAGCGGTAGGACGAGAAGAAATGGGCTCAAGCTGCGCCAGGGGAGGTTTAGGTTGGAAATTAGGAAAAATTTCTTTACGGAAAGGGTGGTCAAGCATTGGAACAGGCTGCCCAGAGAGGTGGTGGAGTCACCATCCCTGGAAGCGTTCAAAAAACGGGCAGAGGTGGCACTTGGGGACATAGTTCAGTCTAGTCTACCCTTGATTGGTTTAGACTGGACTTGGCAGTGTTAGGTTAATGGTTGGACTGGATGATCTTAAAGGTCTTTTCCAACCTAAACGATTCCATGAGTCTATGATCCACATGGGAAGAAGTATAAAGAAAACTAGAAGGGAATCTTACAGCACAGCACGCTCAACATGCCAGGCAGTCTGATCCTTTTTGGCAGGGAGCATCATTTTGTTATAAAGCATTTGTAGCATCCAGGTGGGGAGCCAGCGTGGACTGGGGCAACTAAGAGAGTTTAGAGCTCTGGTCTCCCCACCTGCACCAGCCCACACAGACGGCACTCGGGCAACATGCAACACAGCTCCATCTTTCGTCTGAGGCCCTCTTTGCCACCGCGTAACTCACGTGCTCTAACCTCATACAGCAGACTGATCGGCAGATTGCCTTGCCCGTGGAAGAAGCACTGAGCACTCTGAGTTTCATGCACGCAAAGTCTGGACACGATTCCCTTTATTTCTTAGGCAATTTTTTTTTTCCCTTTCTCCTCAAGAGGCTCAATTTCCAAATGTTTGCAGCCAGATCAGAGTCCTCTACAAAACCGGGTATGTATCGGACAAAGATCCACTCTAGTACTGGCTGCTAAGGATACCATGATATTTTGGCTAGCAAGCAACAGCTTATTTTTCACAACCACTTGGCATTCTCTAGAAGAGAAGCCCGCTAAGTGGGGTTCACAGAAGAACGTGTAACCATCCTCAGAAAAATTTCTGACAACTGTTTTAAGTCAGCATTCTTCTGTTGTCACCAGTCACAGCTTCAAGCCAACGAGAAACTTCTTCTAGACTGTTCAGACACGAGTGCTCAAACTGATTTAAGGGGGGGGGGGGGAAGATAATTCCTCCACCATAACTGAGAGGATCACGTCTTCACTTACAATTGCTAACATTGCAACTCCTGTGGGAAATCCAGGCTGTTGATCAAAATAACTGGAAAACTGCTGTCAGAAAGGGAATAACATTTTTAAGAGAAACCTCAGTCTGAAAAATACTTTCTGGATAGATTCCAAGCAAGTTTTTTGTCCTGTCCTTCAACATGGCTCTCAGCCTTCAAGGATGCAGAAGAACAATGATGACCAAAATAACTATCCTCTAGAGGCATTGAGTAAGAACATAGAAGCAGGGATCGTCAAAGACCATTTATACCTTGAACAAAATGATGTTTCTTATTATAGATGGTTTGGGGGTTTTTTTACAGTTTGGAAACAGGATCAAAAACTCATTGGGACTGAGTATTTGTGGATATATATAGTTCATCTAACAGATGTTTCAATCAAGTTAAGTACATTCAAATGGCAAAAAAAAATATATACATACTTGATTAGTCGCGGAGTGGTCTGTCACTGGTGTCAGCTGCACATATTGGACTTGGATATCACTCCCTTGGAGCGGTGATCCATCGACACCCCCTGACGCAGGCTCGGCAGAAGCAACAGCTATCAGCTGAGCACCCTGCAACACCTGCAGGGAAAGCAATGGAGAAAGCAGCTTGTAAACAGCCGCAATCAGAAATGCATTACGAACCACCTAACTGAAAACAGATGCAAACCCAAAGACCATTAAAAAGAAACACAAGAAAACTTGTCTATCGGTAACAGTTGCTTTAAATCGTGTGGGTTTCCGAGAAGACATGGTACGCATATGGAAAGATTCCCATACTAGAGGCTCGCTGCATTTTGCCTTATGAGATTCATAATTCTGTTAATCATTATTGCAAAGACTAAGTGAGCTAGACCGAGCAGGTTACACTAAGAGTGTGATAATGTCAACCGCACACACCAATATCACTGAGTAATGCTTTCACTGTTGCATAAACAGACACAGATCCAAGGTACTCCTTCTGACGGCCAAAGGCATCCAACTTTTGACAATTTATTATAGTAATGTTTAGATCCTTATCGCATATGAAGGTGTAGATTTAAGCGTTACTGTTAATTAATGCTTACTCTAAACACATCTGCATGTGACTGGTGAAGACTGTAAGTCCCCTATAGGCTACAAAAACCAGAGAACAGTTGATCCCTCTAAAAGTGCTTGCTTAAAAATGTTCTTGCGATTAGACTAATTTTAATTTACTTCTTGAAACACAAATCAAACACATGTATGTAAACAATAACAACTCCCCAATCTCATTTTTTAAATTCCGCTAAAAGATACATATTCAGTTTTAATTTCTATATGCCACAAATTATGTCTTTTTAAACTATGGTATTTGAACCGCAGCGAACAAAAGACATCTTTCAAACGAAGGAAAGAGAGCAAAGAACAAAAATAACATCCTTAACAAAGTATGATTTCTCAGCTGATCTGCGGGTGGGTGGCCATGAAGGAGTGGGTAAACCAGAATTTCTCTAGGGAGTGTGGGAGGCAAAAAGAGGTGACCTCCATAAATGACCTTTAGGGGTGTTGTCAGGATTTTATAGGGATCTTGGGTGTTCTGAGATACAGTCAGCATCAAACTGCAAAAGGATGCTATATTTTGTTTTTACAGGAGTAAGCAAAATTCTCTCGTCCTACGGTATTTGTTTTGGAACTACACGATACATGTTGTCAGAACCACATCACAGTCTGTCCTATTCATTACCTGCAGGTCTTAAATGTATTTTTTTCTCATTTGTTTCTGACCTACAAACTTCAGAATGACTGTGAGCAACTGAACAAGCCCATCATTCTCACACACAAACTGGTTTACAGCAAAGAAGCCTAAAACTTCCAACAGTACCAGCTTCCCTGTTTTACCATGTTCTCAGCTGCACACCTTCCAGTGCACTTCAGAAGAACTCCCTTTTATAGCACATGTGCTGGAGAACAGCAAATAATTCTGGTTTATGTTATCTTATACCAAACCTATTAGATTCCTAGTGATAATCTACCTTTGCCATCCTGCCTACCAAAAAAAAAACCCACCAAAACCCCAAAAACCAGCAATACTTGCATAAAATACTTTTTGCTGTCAAATTACTCTTCCCTATTGGTTTCATGCAAATGGTTATGTGCTTTTCCTATTCTGTCTTCCTGCTGGATAAACTATTCGTAATTAAGCTTTCATTCACAAAGAAATGGGAAGCATTTTTGTAGGATATAACGATGAAGTTGAGTTAGTTTTCGCAGAGGTAAAATGGACATGCCAACCTCAGCAGGGGCTGACAAACCCAGGTATTTATGAATTTCCATTGACAAGGTCATGGACCGATTGCTGCTGCTCCGTTCCCCCAACCAGCCAGATTAAAACCAACTCAGCTAAGCTTAAACGTGCTCCAATCCCAATTCAAGCCTATAGCAGTGATAGCTACATACGCTGTGCTTGGTTTCCAGTTGATTAGTTTGAAAAAAACAGATTGATAAATTGGAGAGATAAGACATCAAACATTATGAAAAATGCAATTAGTAGAGGTTTTCCTTCTCTACAGGCTTCCGAATTCACTAGTGGAGGGTGAGTGGCCAAGCACGGCAGATCCATTTCCAGTAGCGTTATGCCAAACTATTTGGGCTTTGCAAACCAGGTGACTGGCTCTGAATTGAATGTCGCTCGGGTATGGTTATTCTCTACCAGTTGCCGCCTTTGTATTTTTCCCTATAGCTAGAAAAACACATTCGGAAGCTTGGAAGCCAGGAAAAGGCCGTTTTTCAAAACTAAGAACGATTTCGCTTCTTTACGCTTCTCTTTATCCATTTGTCCATCATGCACAGACTACTTAATGCATGTTTAAAATCACTTAAAAAAAAAAAAAAAGAATCTGTCTGGACTTCTGGACTTTGAAAACTAGAAGAAGACCAATCTAATGCTGAAAAAGACTTCTTAGTGTTTTCCACTTAATAAACACTAACTTTAATGGCTGTCTTAGATTTCATTAAATACTGTCTAGCTTGTTATTGTGGTATAACTGGCTATATAATCAGTCACTGAACAAATGAGAATAATAGCAAGAACAGGGAAAAGATCCCAGTCTTAAACCATCTGACTGAACTTTAAATGAAGGAACGAACAACAAGCTCTTCTTAGTATCTGCAGAGTTTATATACAGCACTCTGAACAAAATTATTGTTTTGCAGTTTGTTTGAGTTACTGCACAGCTTCTGAAATTAAGATACAAATGAATGGGAGTAGAAGGGGAGAATTGCCATCTTGACTCATTCTTTTTTTTTTTTTTTTTTTTGAAAGGGATTTGGAAATAAAGCTGTTTCTGTAGTCTCAATGGCACAGTACCTTGTGTTTAATCTGCTGAGCCAAAGAGAAGATCAACCCAATCTCAGGCTCAGCCTGGAACATTTGATCCCGCTTCGTACGTGTGAACACCTCTGTCAAATGTGCCATGATGATGACCTGCAGCTTACTAAAGATATCCCTTAACTAATCACACTGTATTCATAAGGTAACACAATTTATCACAAATCTCGGGTGCATCCAGATAGGGAAATCCAACTGAACTGACATTAAAACCAGCAATAAATTACATTTTCTCTAGGCATTACTGGAGATTATGATAAATTTATTATATTTCTGTCTTAGCTCAAAGATACGCTACAAGTTTGTTATGCTGAAGAACTAGGACTGAAGTCACCCCTTGTACTTTGGACAAACAGCAGTACTGATAAATATTTTGTTCAGAAAAAGCCCAACTCGGGCAAATAGTGGCAAGTTTGGTTACAGTCCTTGGATTCTGCTGGCATTTGCAGTTTGGCATTACGTTAACAGGGCGTTCCTCGGGGAGCTGGATAGCAGAGCCTTTCGCAAACGGGGCAGCTCTAAGTACATGGCTTTTCTTTGGCTGCTCACTTGACATCCAGACCAATACCTTAACTTCTCAATTCTTACCTGCCCTTGACTTTAAAATAAAGGAATTGTACCAAAAAAATGAACAACCCACCCTGAAAATGAACTTCTCTTCCCAATTCCACTGGGCTTCTCTAACACCCTGCCTTACTCGTTCAAAACAGGTAACAGAAACAGATGAAAAATAATAAACTTCACTTCTAACAAAATTGATTAATTCCTGCTCTAAACACACACACAGAACAAGAAGCTTGAAGTCACCCTTCCCTTTCACTTGGGCGCAAAAGCCCGGAAGTATCCGACGCGGACCGTCGCTCAAGCTAACTCGGGCTAGTGAGAGTTCAAGCCAATGCTGAAAACGATCCTAAAAAAGACTGCCTTTAAAATTAACAAGGAGACCAAAAAATGTTTTTGTAACATAATTGAGTGGAATGCTAAGAAAAAGTACGTTTGGCCATCTATTATTGCTTGCTGTCAGCGGTAAAAAGTTGTCTTGACAGCGACGAGATCTTTAGCTCTCGCGGAGCCAGAGCCCACTCTTTACATTGCACAATTATTTCCACTGCAAGCATGAGCAATTACACAGCTGGAACACAGCAGCTCGCTAAATCCTTCTGTTCTTTCAGCTCGCAGTTAGAACCACGGATACATGCTTCTCCCCAAATAGAAAACCTAGCGAAAAATGTTTAGCAAGGAAAATCAGAATACTTTAGGAAATGTCTGCAAGATATTTGAGAATATCTTTCAGACAGATGTATTTAAGAATGCTTTGAAGCTACCAATACTGTCAAGCCCATTTTGTGACCTGGCCCGATCTTTGCAATCCTTCACATCCCAAACCTTGTTGCCTCAAAGGTTACCACATTGCATGGTGAGCCTGGTGAGGACAACTCGCCTAAATTAAAAAGCGAGCACAAAAGAGCCCCTTCCCTCACTATTCCCATCACCTTTCAGAGTAAGAAAATGTTCTCTAACACCTTCAGCCAGAAATACAAACGCACTTCTATTCGTTTTGATTTTAAATGGTCCTAGAAGAAGGAACAGTGTTTTGTTCAGATGTTTAAAATGAAGTGTGAACTCTTGGCATTGTTAGTGAACACAGAACCACAGTCTCTTTAACCAAATGTTTCTTTTCCTTAAAGCTCTGTAAGCTTTCAGTGGGAGATACAAGAGCTGACAGATTTGATAAAACGAGCTGAGGGACAGACAGCTTCCCCCTTACCCACTCAAAGCATATTGTGCCCATACGCCCGTTACCTGTCCCTCCGTAGAGCAACGCGAACACAGACCCAGGCTTCCCAAGCAGAACTGCAGGAGAAGCACAGACCCTTGCAGTGGCATCCCACTGACCTGAATCTTTGCCTTTCTCTGTGGTGGGTTTTTTGGTTTTTTTTTTTCTTCTCTTCTCTCTCCACCTTTTTTTCCTCTAGCATTCTCTCTTCAAAGTCTTGATGGTTTGGGACATGCAAGCTATTGAGCCTGAAGGTCCTGGATTTCTATTTTTTGTCCCTTTTTCAGTGAGATGCTTGCCATATAAAAAGTAATAATAAAATTAGTAGTAATAATGAAAACCAGCTACTTTCTCTGCTCCCTTCTTTTCCATTTAAAGACCATTTTAGCCCATAACTAATAGTTCCCATTTAACATTCAACTGCCAGGGCAGGAAATTAAATTTTTTAAAAAAAGA